CGACGTCAGATCCTCCAAGGAGGAAAGACGAGGACTTAGCAAAATTCCAAGAAATTTTCTAAGACGACGACCCCAAGGGGTGCAATCGACGTCAGATCCTCCAAGGAGGAAAGACGAGGACTTAGCAAAATTCCAAGGAGTTTTCTAAAACGACGACCCTAAGGGGTACAATCGACGTCAAATCCTCTAAGAAGGAAAGGCAAAGACTTAGTAAAATTCTAATGAATTTTCTAAGAAAGCAACAATTGCAAATGAAGGTATAAATTAAATCTGTTATCTTTTATATATATAAAGTGTAGATAAAATAAAAAATGTCCGAATCGACAATAAGTTACAAACAAAAGAGAGACAGGTAAAAATCATTCAGGCCTCGCCGCCAGCCGCCGATTCTTCACCATCACCAGGCGGGGAAACATTGTCATCGCCAGTAAGAGGAGGAGAGTTATAAAGGAAGCTCAAGTCCCACTCAGGACGCTCCTTCTTGATCAGGTCGACAATTTGTTGACCCGCAGATTGAAAATCCCTGGTGCGGATGTCAGTGAGCTCCTGAGAAGCCTTGAACTCCTCAATAATCTCAGCGTGCCTGGTGTTGAAAGCAAACGCAGCTTCTGCCTCAGCTTCCCTCTTCCCCTGAGCAAAACACTTCTCCGCTTCCCCAGCTGCTTCAGACAACTTTTTATCAGACAGGTATGCCCGCTCTGTGAGACTCGCGACCTCAGCCTTCAACTTTACTAGTTCGTCTTCCAAACTCGCCAGCTTGGCTAAGGCCACGTTCCTCTTCTCAATGGCATCATCTAGCTTCTTTTTAGCATCAGAAACAAGGGAGTGGAGCTTGGCCTCCACATCGTCCATCTCATTTTTACGCTCCTCAACCTTGACGAGGTCAAGGAGGTTAAGGATGGAAAGGATCAGGCTCTGGAAAGTTGGAAATCAGAAAAGATGAATTAAAAAAAAAAAAAAAAAAAAAACTCGACCAAATTTTACGTGGATCTGGAAGGAGATTTATTTGCGCTGACGGTTGACCAAAGAAGACTGAGAGGCAGCAACCCAGTGGGGCTCAAGGAAAGACTCATAAAGAGCCTGGAAAACAAGGAAGAAGCGAGGAGGAAGTTTAAGCATCGCCCCAATCTCGGCATCAGATATGTCTGGGACTTGGAACTTGGGGTCCATAATTTTAGCCCCCGGAATAAGCACGCGCTCTCTCGGCGCCAGCAGAATGTCGACGTCAGGAATAGGGACCATCGGCGTCCACGTTTCTACCACCGGCATTTTTTCCTTGCGCCTCTTTTTCTGCACAAGATCCGTCTCCGACCCCGAAGGGCCCTTGGTCTTCTTGCTCCTCGGAATGTGGGAAGAAGAGCTAGCATTCTCCTTTCCCTTCGACGGGGGCGGTTGGCTCGGCAGGGGCTGTTGATCTGATGGCGGCTGCTGGCTCGACCCAGATTGCCGACTGCCAGGAAGCTGAATTCTCAGTGACGCCATCTCTGCGGAAACGACGAGACAAAGATATGATCAGCGTTTGAAAAATAAGAACTGTAATAAGGGAAGGCGTCGAAAGCAGGAATTACCCTCATCGCTTAGGTGGAAGGATACGCGGACGGCGTCTAGGTCTGAAGGGTTGGGGAGATCAAGGATTAAACCGGCGGCGCGAAGATTGGCCTCGGTCAGAAGCGTGTCGATATGGCGAACCTCTGATGAAAAAAAGAAAGCCTTCTCGATCCTCGCCAAACTGTTGCCAGAAAACTTCAGCCGGTCCTAGCTAACTGAAGGGTAAAAGATTATCAGCATATGAACAAAAAGCAAAGTCAGATAAAAGAAAGCCAAGAGGCTTACCTATATTCCCAAACGCCGCCTGCACCTGCCTTCGACGGGGCAGGCGATCGTTGGGATGAAAGTTGAAAGGCCCCCAAATCATGAAGAACATGGGCTTCCACCCGTGTGATGACGAGGGAATACCCAGTATAAGCTTCCCAAATCTGGGCCGAGACCTCCCGTGACCACTCAAAAAATACCACCCCTCACACTTGACGACGTGGCATAGCTTATACATAAATCGGAACTCATCCAAAGGGAGTTCCATATCGAATTGCTGGTGCCATAAAATCCAGGCACCGGCAAGCAGTACTAGAAGTTCGGCGCCAGCTGAGCGGGAGAAATACCATAAAAATAGCAGTAGTCCTTTACAAAGGGATGAACTGGGATGGTCATCCCCGTTGTAACCGCTATAGTATAGACCGGAAGGTATCCGGTCGGCGGCATGCTGGTTCTAAAATGCATGTCCGGGAGAAGGTATTCGAACCACCTCCCGTCGATGCGTCCTTCCTTCACAGCCCGGATGATATCCTTATTCCGGACCCTCGACGCCACAACGTCGGCTGTGATGAAGGCCTATCCGGCTCACCACTCATGGCAGGCAGGGGGCATCTACCGTCGAGGCAGCCACCCCGCCTACTCTGCCCCCGGTGAAGGGGATCCGCTCAACTATCTCGTCCAGAAACCGTTCGACGCTACCGAATTCGCTTCCGAAGTCGTCGCCCGGTTCATATCTTTCTCCGACATCTTCAGTGTCCCTTAGCACGGAGTCGACACTGGAAGACGAAGAAGACCATGAGATCTCCACCATAGAAGGGGGGTCTGGACGGACGACAGGAGAATCCTCTCGACTGGGGGAACTTTGGGCCATTGTTCTGGTGATTAAAAAGACAATAAGCTAAGTTAAAACCCTAACGTCGAGAGGAAGAAAGGATGGCTATTCTAAGCGATGACTACGCAAACGCCTCGACTTGACGTCGACCATTCATATGAGAATGGTAACGGTGAGTGCTCATAGAATTCCAGGTTCCCCAGAACCCAGAAATCAGAAGCGCGCAGACAATAAAGAGATGGGGACAGAACTATCCAATGCGGAAAAACAAAACGGAGTAAGTCTCCCTAACTTCTACATTCCACACATTTTTTATACATATACACATGGTTCAAACAAAAGGAGAGGAGCAGCCCGTGAGTAAGAAAAGCAGACATAGGGTGGAAAGGCTTACCGGTGAAGAAAGATTCCCGGGAAAGTCTTGAAGAAAGAATGGCTTCGCGATACGCCTCGAAGAGCAAGAAGCACGAACCAGAGGTTAGAGAGGAAGGATTTCGACGAAGAAGGCGGCAGTCCAACAGGTGCGAAGAGAGTTTGAAGTCTTGAAAAAATGGCTCTCGAGTTCGTAGAGGGTATTTAAAGGAACGGACATCCTCTACCCTGACCGTTGGATGAAGATTTTAAAATCCAACGGCAAGGGAATCCTGCCCGGATCTGACGATGATAAAATAGGGCGGGAAGCGGAGAGGTCGCGATCCAAGGGTCCATATTCGTTCTTTCAAAATAAGGCCGTACGTCATCATGAGGAATCAATCGACGCGATGGTTGCATCCCCCGAAGGAAATCTAAAGCGCCCAGGCCATCATTACGAACGAAGACTCGGGACCCGTTTCCCACACCCAAAGCACGAAAGGACAACCGAACCTAAGTCCGAGGCTGCCTAAAAGGAGCCCTCGATCTGGGGGCTAGCTGTTGTGTGGGAAAATGTGACGGACACATGGACGAATGATAATGCGACACGTGGCCTTGACTACTCCCCACCAAGCAAAAACCCTCGACGTCTACGGACCCCTCCTATTCCGCTGGAAAGCCCAAAGCACGAAGTCCAAATTAGGGCGACAATCCCTTATGGCGTCGACAGATCGCGCCGTCAAGATTGAGGCACGAAGATCCCTCGACCGCAGAAAGGATCCAAAGAAGGCGATTGGGCTAAGCAGCGCTGACGATGAGGGGAACGTTCTTTAGAGGACGTGACGGGTTGCGTGCAAAAGTGGAAGACGTCTGTAGGCATTAATTACAAGCTCTCAAACCACCCCACAAGGGACATAAAAGTATTACGGAGAAGCACAGAGCCGTAATAGGAGACTAATTGGCTGAGTGAACAGTGCTGATTAGTGGGCTACGTCTGGGCCTACCAAGGAAGAGCACTTGAGTGCTTCCACCTAGGAAGAAAACCCCCTAAGCGAAGGAAGCCCAGTATAAAAGGAGAAAGACCCCCAGTAAGGCAGGGGTTCAGAAATTCCAACAAAGAGAAAAGAGATTTAATAAGAGCAATTGCTGTAAATCGTTATCTTCTCAAAAGAAATACAAAATCACAGTGGATGTAGCTCTCATTTTATAGAGTGAACCACTATAAAATTCCTTGTGTCGTTTGTCTATGCATGATTTAGTTAACACACAAACACACATATTCAACAAATCCTCATATGTTAACTATACACACTGGCCGGTAATCTAAAGGGAAACCAAGAGGTAACCCGGCCAGTTTTTATTGGTGAAATTTGACCGTCAACAGAAACTTCGGTATCAAAACTGCCTTGATTGCTTAATATTTCCTTTTGGTTCTTCTACTTTAAAACTTAAAAAACAAATATGTAGAAAAAGTTGTAATGAACTCAGTTACATGAGAGCGAACCAATTTATGTTTGCTCTGGCGCATAAGAAGTAACAACTAACACATTAATCCGTGGTGGTAGGAATTGAACTTGAACTAAATTTTTTCTGATTGGAGCTAATCCTATTTAAGCTAAACAATCAGAAATACAAATTACAATACAATACCCTTTACATAAGATAGAAAAAACAAACTCTAGGTAATCTATTTTTTGGACACTAAATGAGATTTCACTTAACGCAGTTTTAGTTTTTTTTATACTGATAATAATCTCTGAATAAAACTATCAAACACATTTTCAGAAATGATTCCTGTTTGAGAATAAAAACGTTTTCATTTCTATTTTGATATAAAAATTAAAATCATTTTGCAACGGTTGTAAACGCACCCGTCCGGGTGAAAAGCGCTTCGTCTTTGAATAAACGACATCAAGCTTTAAGTGTAACGGAAACGGCAACGTTTTTGTCACTCTTTTCAGCCCAACGACAAGAAAAACTAACGAATAATTACACTCGGACACAGCTTAGCTTTCAGACTTCTCCAGTTCAGTACAATACGCACGACCCTGTCAAGAAGAACCTTTTTCTTTCCCTAACCGTCTCTGTCGCTTGCACTGCCACCGCAAAAACAGAGAAATGGCTGACAACGAACTCCAGATTCCGACAAACCCTAGCTCTCTCATTGTGAACAACCATACCAAACTCTCCACCGACGACGATGACGACGACCCTCCGACGCTGAGCTCTCAGGCCCTCGCCGCTCTGAAGGAGTTCCTGGCAGAGCCAAGCCTGTCCGCCTCCGATACAGCCGGCGGAGGCGGCGATTCGACTGTGGCTCTGGTCGCCGAAGACTGGAGACTCAGCCAGTTCTGGTACGACCGCGACACCGCCGAGACTCTCGCGCGTGAGGTTCGCGCTCTCTGCCAATTGGCGGAATCGGAATCGGAATCTGTGCGTGTCGCTTGCATTGCTTGCCCTACTCTCTATGCTTATCTCAAGGTAATAGTTTTCGAAAAATTTTCTTTAATTTAGATATTTGGTTCTGATTTGATGGAAGGTTAATCCGTCTTCAGAATGATGATGATTCCAACGTAAGACTGCAACTTCTGGAATACGACAAGCGTTTTGAGCAGTATGGCAGCGATTTCACGTTCTATGATTATAATCAACCTGAGGAGTTGCCTTTGGAACTAAAACATGCTTTTCATGTGGTTGTTGCAGACCCTCCTTACTTGGTAACAATTCCTAATTACATTGCAATGCTGCAACATATGTTCCTCTTGTATTTATTTTGATTCATGTATCAGTCACTTTGAAAAGGTGTAACATTAGTTTGGAGACTGCATAAATAAATTATTTGTTGTTATACTCTTACAAAATCAGTATTACATAAGACAGATGTTATTTTGATTTAATAGAAAGAATATATGCTACGTTACACCCTCTAGTCTTAATTTCTATACGATCAGTTCTTCTTAAGGACTTAAAGTCTTTGCCTACATTGCGAGCAAATGTTGATGTTTAGTCACTCCAACATGGTCGGTAATTTGTAAATATAATAAATTGGTCAGTGTTGTTGATTATTCTTACGCATCAATTTGGTTTTTTGTTTCTCTGCAAAAACAATTTAATGGGTGTGATATAGCGGCTGCTTTGCAAGATATTTACCTTTAGTCAAGGTAAAAAAAACCTTTGGTTTTGCATTGTGATTGAGTTACATTTTGTGCAATCATAACTTCCCATGTTCCTGTACTGTTCATGTTTGACGTAGTACTTCTTTCTTGTGACCATGCTTTTGGAAGATGGTTTTTCTGTCAAAGTAATTTGGTTTGTAATATATATAGCCTCTGTGATGTTTGAGCAAGCTAATGATACAAGGTAAATCTCATTTTTGGTGTCAGAGTAAGGAGTGTCTTGAGAAAGTCGCCCAAACTATTTCTTTTCTGGCGCGATCTAGCGGGTCTTACTTGCTTCTGCTTACAGGTAGAGATTTTTTTAATTCTCCCTCCTGAAAACCGTGTTTTTCCTTGTGATATGTTTATACTTGATTCTATCTATATACCGTCAGCAAAATGTTGTAGTGTCCTACCACGAGTACTATTGGGTCTACCAATGTTTTTAAGGTTTGACATTGAAAATAAGCATGGATGGGATAGTTAAATCTAAGAGACATGTTCTTTTCAGGAGAGGTGCAGAGAGAAAGAGCAGCTGAGCTTTTGGGGCTGCATCCTTGTGGTTTTAGGCCTCGGCATTTGAGCAAGCTAGGAAACGAGTTTCGACTGTTCACGAACTATGATCCCGAGACGAGACTAGGAGGGTGGGAGCGAAAGAAGTAGCTGAATGAAGCCTTGTCTTGTAAGTTTGTAGATTGTTATATGAAATTCTTGAGCCTACTTTCTCTCCCCGTCCCCACAAGAAAAACGGAACTCTGTAGATACACTGCAATCTTTGATTTTCGTATTTGGGATTACCCAAGTACTCTATAAACAAGAGATCTTTTCTCAAATTTCTTCAAGGTGTTTGTTCTTTCCTTTTGAAATAAATATATATATATATATATATCTTGTTTTCTTTTTCTTTTTTTTTAATTTAATTGCCAAGTGATCAGCTCTGGAATGAGTAGTTCCAGAGTCTCTGTTATTCATCATTACCTTGATCATGTTCTAATATTATTGCACTTCTAACTGCAGATTCGTTCGTTGAACTTGCCAGGCAAATTGTTGAGTTCTGGGAAGATGAAGATGGCGTTTTATTTTGGCTATTGCATCTTGCAATACAACTCGAAACCATACTGGATAAATGCAGTATCAATGGCTTTCTTGAGTTTCCATGTCTTTGTGCTTCTTGTAGCTTTGCATATTTATGTTTCTGAGAGTAAGTGGCAGATTTTTAATGTATCTCGTTTTATTTAGATAATAGCTAAATTATATTCATATATTCACCTCTATAATTCCTTAAATACTCGTTGCGATATTTAGTGATGTTTTGGGGTTTTTTTTTAACCGGTTTACTATGTAACTTGCTTATCCAAACTGAGATGGTGGATATGAAATGACAATCTTTTTCAAATAGACAGGAGATCTTCAACTTCAAGTTCTTCTCGTTGTTATTTGGTATAATAGATGGAAATAAAATGTTATAATAAATTGTTTTTTTTTTTTTTTTCCAACGGGGAAGAGATGATTCAGCGAATATATACTAAATAGAAATTATATGGTAATGTTGTAGAAACACCTTTGCAAGATTCTTGATCGAACCCCAAGCTTGATCCACACAGAAAAAAATTGGAAAAGAAACCTCAACAGAGCTTTAATTTTCATTAATGGCGAAAGATACTTTCCGAATCTTTACACACTTTCAGAAGTTTTCTATCTCTCTCTCTCTACTTTCTCTCACATACAAGGCAAAGACCGACTTAACACCGACTAAAAACTTTTATGAACAAGAAAATCCCTCTTAAAGGATTATTGAGTACTTTACTCCTAAATTTAATATGCTGCACATTTGTCCATTAACTCCCTCTGCTGAGTTGGTAAAATCCTAGCCACCTGTGCAACAATTCTCCACCTTGGCTTGATTCTACTCATTTAATCTTCCATTTCAGTGACATGTAGCAACTCCAAACAATGCTAGAATTTAGAACCTGGCAGTGCCTTTGTGAGCATGTCAGCTAAATTCTCCTCAGTTGATACTTTCTCCAAACAGACATCTCCTTTTTCAATTATTTCCCTCACAAACTAAAGTCTTACATCTATATGTTTTGTCCTTTCATAATAGACTTGATTTTTAGCCAGACGAATTCCACTTTGGCTGTCACAAAACACCCTTAGCAGTCAGTTTCCCTAGCCCCAGACTTGCAGCCATTCCTTGCATCCAAATTGCCTCTTTTATAGCTTCTGTCACAGCTATGAATTCAGCTTCTGTTATCGACAATGAGACCACATGCTGAAGATTAGCCTTCCAACTAACCGTATTACCACAAAAAAAACACATATCCTGTTTGTGACCTTCTGGTGTCTAGACAACCTGCATAGTCTGAATCCACATATCCCGTCACTGAGTTTCTGCCATCACTACTCCTTCTGTATAGCAGTCCAAAATCATCTGTGCCTCTGAGATACTTGAAGATCCAATTAACAGCTTTCCAATGTTGTTTCCCTAGTTTTCCCATGAACCTGCTCACTGTGACGCCCCTCCTATGAGGCCGCCACTGTAACTTAAACTTTAACTTGTACTTACTGGGGTTTCTTAAAATATGCGGAACATTTTTTTTTTTTTTTATATAAGAAGGAATACTTTCATAATTTGTAACAATAGTTTCAAATAAGTGAATCACTAAATTTCTTAAAGCTTTTCTTAATTTTAGTTAAGATAAAACCTTTTAGGAATATCCTTCAAATGGAATAGCATTTGAACTCTTGTTTTAAATACTCATTAAAAGCTTTTCTAAAACTAGTCATTTCAATCGGCCATCTCATTTGACTTTAAAACGGATTTCGTGAGAAATCTTAAATTCAAGTACATCTTAAAGTCCTTCTAAAATTACTCATTTAAATCGTCATGTTTAAAATTCATTTATTTGTTGCATGTACTGTAACATTCTAAAACTTAAATACTCAAAACTAGGGTTGTTAGTTACAACCTTGGTTTTCTTAACATACATATGTACGTATACTTTTTAAACATACATACTTGAAACTTTTGAATCATATAGACATATACATGATTTTTCTTAAACTTACTGCGGAAAATAACTGCGTGAGCGGTATCCATTCCCATCTCCACCATTCGTCCACCGCTCGCCATTGCCCTTCAAGAATTGCTGATAGGTTTCTTACCTACAGCATGAACATATCTGATTGAGCTTTCGCTCAGCAAGTAGGAACTATATCTCACAAAATAACTGTAAGTACACATGAATAAATATGCATGAGCTGATTATGCTTAATTATGATGTCTTATCATAATTTTATTATCTTATCTTATCTTATCTTCCTTACTGATGGGCCCGAGTGCTCGCGTACCACTTGCGCGCAATCATCGGAACGTGAGGGTTTGCAAGGTCCCCCACGACACCGTGATTATAACTTGAATGCCTCCCTTGAGTCGGAGGAAATTATTGTTATTTTCTTTTTCTCCCTTGTGGAGC